AGAAGATATGGCACAAGGGATGTCAGATGGTTTGGGTTGTGTATATGTTTTTGAAAAAAATCTCATCATCTTTGCTTCTGTGGAACATTTCAGTTACATTTCTCCTAAGATTGATCTATTATTTCTTCTAGTAGTTCACTATATAGTCAGTATTCTTTATCAATGCCAAAATTCTAATGAGTCAATTCTTCTGCCTTCTGTTTCATTATCCATCTTACACATATTTATGAAGTGGTTGAAAAGACTTTCAATGTCCATGGAAGTAGCAGTCAAGAAATCATATACTTTATTGTTTTTATGTGCCGTTGAGTCGATTACAGCTCCTAGCGACCCTATGCACAATCGCTCTGAAACTTGCCCCATCCTGTGCCAACTTCCCTCTCTGACATGCCGACCCTCATTATTCCAGTTACTATGTCAATCCATCCCATCCAGGTCTTTCTCACCTGTACTGTCCCTCCACTCTTCCAAGCATGATGTCCTTTTCCAAGGACAGGTTCCTCCTGGCCAAGTGCCCAAAATATGTAACAAAGCCTCAAAATCCTCACCTCCTAGAAATAGCTTGCTTCATCCTCTCTAGACAGACCTGTTAGTTCTCTTGGTGGTCCATGGTATGTTCAGGACTCTTCTCCTATACCACAACTCAAAGATATCAATACTTCTGTCCTCTCTGACTGTTATCTAGCTCTCTGATGCATAACAGGGAACTGCGAAGACCATGGCCTGGCTCCGACACACCTTAAGTCTCTAGACTGAGATCGTTGCTCTTTAGCACTCCTAGAGAGGTCCCCGGCAGCAGATTTTCCTAATGCAATTTGTCTTTTGATTTCCTGACTTCTAGTGCTAAGAGTGTTGAATGAATAAGAGTGTTTATTACAATGGGCAAATTTTTATGATTATATGATCTCATATATTTTCTCTTAAACATACAACTGTGGTTCCTTCACAGATGACTCACGCCTTGCACTTGTTCTGAGACAAATTTTTTTTCTTTCTTTTTTTTATTATTAAATTTTATTAGTTTTAATGAACATTTACAGGGATTTTGGGTTTTCATTCCTTCATTGCTGCACCATTCTCTCTACCCTCCTCCCCAGTTTGTTCTTCTTCCCCGCCATCCGAATGTCTGTTTTAATTGTCCAATTGCCACAGTGCTCGTCAAAGTCAGTTCTGATTAATCTCCTTTGTCGGTGTGTCCTTTGCCATTCCCTATCACTCCTCTCTGAGAGAGACTTCACCCTGATTCATAAGGAAAAGGGGATGGCGTATTCTCTTAGCTACTTCCTGCTGAAAAGGGACGCTGTGGGTTTCAGGGTGAAGATCTTCTCTCACTACTCTAAAGGGCCCCTTTGGCAGTAGGAAACACATAGACTATTATGGAGATTGATTTTGGAATTTAGATGCACTCTTATTGATTGTGCTTGGCTGTACATGTTCATATCCTTGAAGATGTATCATGGGGGTGTTGCAACCTAGAAGACACAAATTTGACTAACAAGTTATAAGTACATGAGTCAAAAATTATGGAAAAGTAAAAGAAAGGATTCTTTCATTGTTTTACAAACCCTCCCCCAGGTCCCCTCCACCATGTAGCCCTCACTCTAGACTCCTGTGATGACAGAAGTACCTAGTCATATATCTCTTTTAAACAGTTTTCTCCCTCCTCTGTTTCAGTGCAGTATACATTATTGAACCCATCTTACTCAGTCTCTCCCCAACCCCAAGGACAGTCATTCTGGGACAAATTTATTGATTTCTTCCTGAGCTTCCAGATACAGTCTTTTTATATTGATTTTGACAGAAAGCAAAGAGTATCAGAAAGATGTCTATTTGTATTTTACTATGCAAAGACATTTGAGTGTGTGGACCATAAAGCTATTATGGATAACATTGAGAAAAATGAGAATCCCACCACACTTAATGGTATTAAGGCAAAAACATAGTTTAACAAACTGCTGTATGACCACAACAGTCTTGCATGGTTTAAAATCAGCAAAGGTCTGCATCATTGTTGTATCCTTTCTCCATACCTGTTCAGTATGTATACTGAGAAGATCATTCGAGAAGCTGTACAATATGAAGAAGAATGTGACATCAGAATTGGATGAAGATTCATTAACAAGCTGTGTTATGCAGATTACACAACCTTGCTTGCAGAAAGTGAAGATGACGTGAAAAAGTTGCTGAAGATCAAAGGCCTTCAATATGGATTACATCTCAGCATCAAGAAAACAAAAATTCTCACCACTGGATCATTAGGCAACATCATGCTAGATGGAGAGAAGATTTAAATTATCAACAGTTTCATCTTACTTGGTTGAAATTGTCAACTATTTCATCTTACTTGTATCTACTATCTTACTTGGTACCAGCAGTCAGATCAGGAGACGTATTGGGAAGTCTACAATCAGGGACCTCTCCAGATTACTGAGGAACATTGATGTCAGTTTGAAGACCAAGGTGTGCCTCATTTAGGCTATTTTCTTTTCAATTACTTGCTTGCTATTCTTTGGAAAGTTGGATAGTAAATAAGGACGGCCGAAAAATAATCAGTGCTTTTGAGTTGTGATGTATCCTTGTACTGCCAAAAGAACAAACAAGTCTGTTTTGTAGGAAGTGTAACCAGGGTGTTCCTTAAAGGTAAAAATGGTGAAACTTTGTCTCATATGCTTTGTGCATGTTGTCAGGAGTGGCCAGTCCTTAGAGAAAGATTATCATGCTTGAAACTTGGATAGTCAGAGGGAAAGAAGGAAGACCTTCATTAAATGGATTGGCACAATGAATATAACAATGTGCTCAATCATATCAGAGATATGGATATGGATATGGATAGGGCAAGGTTTAGAAACTCAGGGAGGAGTGATAGGGAATGGCAAAGGACACACTGACAAAGGAGATTAATCAGAACTGACTTTCACAAGCACTGTGGCAATTGGACAATTAAAACAGACATTCGGATGGCGGGGGAAGAAGTACAAACTGGGGAGGAGGGTAGAGAGAATGGTGCAGCAATG